AGCAATGTCTGGAGTTCTCATCAGCTCTTCTTCCTCACGTTGCAAGAAGTGTGTGGCAATGACTGGGTTCCCGTGCAACTTGCAGTAGACGATGGAAAATTGGACTCCCTTGTTTCAGGTCACATTGTCCTTCTTGGCTCTCAAAACTATTTAAAAAAAAAACATCAAACAAGGGCGTTCCCAGGGCCTCAATAATAGTAGAGATCAAGCACCCTACTTGCTAAATGCTTGTAACAAGTCAAGGACAGAATCCAGGCATGAGCCCATGTCTCTGTGTCTTTCAACCTATTGCTCCTTCCCAGCCTCCACTTCTCTGGCTAAGGTATTTCCCATTCCACGCTCATAGTTTCGTAGTTTTTTAGGGGCTGGAAAGGACCTTATAGATCATCAGGGGCACTTGGGCAGGGGGCTGGACCTGCCATGCTACCATCAGCCTATGCCTACTAATACCTCCTCTTACAGACACTAGCATCCACGAAATCCAAAGGACAACAGACAGGTGACTTAATTCTGGCAGGCAAGTATTTCTAGGGGAAAACAATACCGTGTACTGAAAAGACTGCCTTGCTGAAGAAAAGCAGAGCAAGAACCAAGAGGTGGGAAGTTCAAACCAGACACCCTCCAACGAGAAATAAAGCAACAACGTACAAGCGAGGGCGATGAACTGGTGAAGCCAACTACCGGGGAAGTGGTGGACTCTCCATCTGATGATGCCTTCAGATCAGGAGTCGCCACCTTCCTGGAGGATTGCACTTTAGTCGAACACGAGCAACTGGGCTCAGGGTAGGGATACCTGGGTGACATTTGATGGCATGTGCCAGGCAGAAGGCCAAGCCAGAGGATCCCCATGGTCATTGTTGGCTGTAAAACCTACAGACAGGACTAGGGGAGGAGGGCTGGCATGCAGAGAGTGAGAAAGTGAGGAGGCAGGCTTAAAAAGCTGGAAGAGGCAGGAGCTTCACATCAGACAGCTGTCCCTACTGGGGGGGGGGGGATAGTCATTCCCTCCTTGGGAGCTATCACCACGTGCAAGCGCGTGGGGCTGGGAAAGGGAAGAAATGCATCTGATTTACGCTGACAGAGAGATCTCAATACGTGGTCCCCTGCGGGGAGCATTCAAAGGAGAACGGGAGGACTCTTCCCCAGCACGGAGAACGCCGCGTGCTGACAACTTCCATTTACTCCAGCCTCGGAGCCGTACCCCTGCAACCTCATCATCCTGCCTGATCTACTGAACAAGGCTCGGTGGTTACACGGGAGAGCAGGAAGCAGAGAGCACGGGCTGCAAACCGCACATCAGTGCTGCTCGCCCTGCAAGAGAGTCCCCAGAGCCATCCCCTTCGCAGCACGAAAATGTCACTCCAGCAGTCTTCTAAATGTCTTTTTGAGCTCAAGTGCCTCTGCCGCCTCTGTCAAGACACGGCACTTCACTCCTCTTTGCAAGGGATTTGGAACAGCAGGCTCTAGTCTGTACCAAGGGAGAGCCCGACAATTAATGCCATGTACAGAGCACTCTGTGTCCCAGCAAATGCCTGCATAAATTCAAGAGGCAGCTCTAGCGCAGGAGCCAAGTTCTGCCAGGCCGAGAGACCACGAACCTGATTTGCAAAGGGATTGAGGACTCGAGTATGCGGACAGTATTTACAAGCATCTAAGCAGGATGGGCTCCTAACGCACTCGGGCGTTCTGGGAGACCCCCACTAGGCACCTTTCTGGACCCAAACCCTTTTGGCAGGTCAGTTCCTATTTCCTCTGCCGGTCCTCCCTGCGGCTGCAAGCCAGCCCCTTCCCATCTCAGTTTCTGCATCTCGGAAAGAGGAGGTGAGGATGCTGACAGCTCGAGATCTATGCCTGGAAAGTGCGATAGAGGAATCAATTATTCACACCGATTCCATCCACAGCAAGCAGGCTGCAGCTGCCGGAGCGGCCTCCGCAGGGACAAGGGGATGGCTCGATCCCCCAACAACAGCGATCACTGCCGAAAGTCTAAATGCAGGGATCCAGGGCAGATTTTACGGGCAAAGAAACATTTCCTGAAGGCAGAGAGGTCCCTTGATTCCCAGCTGGGTCAGCCCTCACCCCATGCCCCGGAGAGACAGAGCGGAGACACCGCTGCAGCTGCCCCGATGGTCCTCACCAGACAATGCTCAGTGCACCGGTGGAGCAAAACCGTTCCCCTGGCGCAGCGCTCCTGCTTTTGACCTTTCCTTTTGGTTCAACAAGGTGCTGCACTGGACTGAAATTCAGCTCCAAGAGCTAAAGGGGCTAAAAGGTTAACTCGAAGCCTCTCCTTAGAGGACAGATGATCAGAGAAAGTACACACTCGTGCTGTTCTGACTTCCAGTGGCTATGGGTTTAGCCTGTTTCACCTCCTCCCAGCTCCCAAGAAACAAGCTTCAGTTAAGCCCAAATATTCTCAGCATATCTACTAATTGCAAGCTTCCCTGCAAACAAGCCATCGCAGTCCTACGGATATTTAATCCCCTAGGCCAGCCGATGTGAAGTCCACTGCTCATTGCCCATCCAACAGGCATCTCCCCTTCCCTTACCTTTTCAGAGGGGAACTTCATGAGGTCCAAGCTGTCCATGCTGCTCCTCTGGATCCTTTTAGGCCTGGCTCCTGGAAAAGCAACACAGACTCATGTCACAAAGGGGGCATTCATGGCACAGATAAAATGCAACCCGCAGCAGAGCCCTGGCTCCATTGCAGAGGGCTGATACAAAGCCAACTAGGTGCCCTTTGGACTCGGGGTGCTTTTGTCCCCCTCCACCCAGACGCTATCGCACTTGAGTTAGTCACAGCTAAAGCCAGGCAAATCTTCCAAAACCAAACCAGACACCATGCCAGGGGGATGCTATCAGGTGGGAGCTGAAGCCAGGGCCTCTCATGTTCAAGTGCCCCAAAACCTCCAGAAAATTTGGAGAAAAAGCTAAAGAAGAAACACAAGTTTTAAAATATAGCTCTTGCCTTTTGGCGTTGGAGCCCCTGGGATGCATGTAGGCCCTTTTCCAAGCTGTCCTCTGCCCCCACAAGGCTAGAAGATTAAATGAACGCTGAAGCTCTCACAAGCTAATGGGACTCCAGGAGGTGGAAATTCAAGGAAGGGCAGCACATACCACGAGACCGACAAGACAACCATGATTGCTCCCCACATGCAAGGGCTGCCAGGGTCCCACCGTTATTCACCTCTCCTCATCGGGAGCATCACGAGTGCAAACAAGCAGTCCACACGCTCGGGCTCCACGCCTCTCCCTACCTACTTCCCTCTCACCCCTGCGCTTCCCGGTAGACGGGAGGGTTTTAGGCTCCAGGAGAAGCTCCTGGGTACATGCGTGAACCGAGAAGGAAAACCGTACAGCTCCCTGAGAGCGGAAACCACCGAGCTCCACGTGGTTCCCTGTCGCAGCAAATTCCCTGAGCGTCAAAACCTGCCGCCACTTCCAGTAGCGACATCCGCAGGCAATGCAGGTTCGCATGGGGCAGGGCGAGGCACCCGTCTTGGGCATGGGGGCCGCTTCGTGCGTATGTAGGGACGACAGAGCTGCGCATGGTGCATCCGCTTGCTCCAGCCAGGATTACGGCGGCCTCCACGATCCAGCTACCCCGGGCACCAGTGCCCCTCTCTCTGTGCAGGAGCTCTGCCCGCCGCTCTTGGACTCAGGCCTCCACAGCACAAGCCGACAAGCTCCGACAGCGCCACTGCGCCCAGTCTTCACCAGTCGGCCATCGTGTGCATGGCAATTTTCCGTTAATTAGCCCATATCTAATTACCCCGCCCTCCACCCACGCCCTGCCAGCCCAAATCGCTTGCATTATTACAGCCCTCAAGCCCCAGTCTGGCAAAAGGCTTGCGTTGCATCTGTCTCCTAGCTAATTTTAAGCACGTGCTCAAGTTGCACGGATGTCAAGTCTGCTTCGGAGGATGGTTGGAGTGAGGCTGAACGCAGGGAAGCGGCCGAGTCAGGGCCTCGGTGGAAAGTGAAGTTGTCCAAGGAAGAGGTGGACCCCTTGCAAGGCTTGAGGGGGAAGAAGGAAACAACTTGGCCATGCGATTCTCCCCTGCCCATAGCATCAATGGTTTCCAGCAAATAGAGAGACCTGTGTAACAGCTGCAGGGGCAAAGCCCACAGCAAAAGCAGGATTTCATGCCCAAAGTCAAGCCATTGCTGAGCTTGGGCTGGGGTGCGGATACAGAGCTGGAAAGCAGATGAGGAGGCCGAGCTCTGCCGCTCCAAGCAACTTGAGCAAAGCTCACCAGCTTCGACCATGTTTGCTTCAGCCTGGCCACGTGTGCCAGGGTCTCCTGCAATGCCGGGGATAGGAAGGCTCGGGCTGTGGACACCGAACTCAACAGTGCTGGGTTTATTCACCCCAAGTGGGACAAATCCCCACAACGGGAGGCTGCAGACTGAACAGGAGTGTGGCTTACTGGGTTAAGGTTTCTCTCCTGGCATGATGCCCTAGGAGAGCTTGGCCCTTGATGCATAACCCTTTCCTTCTACCCATTACAAAGCATTTGATTGACACTACACAAGCCTCCACCCCCCTGTGATGTTGCTGACATCCTAGGTTACGTGAGAAGCAAGGAGGAGATTCAGCTCTAGCCACCGGATGACGCTCTCCCCTTCCCGCAAGACAACCTCTGGCACTGGCGGGGTTCGATCAGGATTGCCCCCTGGAACCAACCCCAGCCCCCTCTGCACCCAATTCAGAGTGATCTCCCAGGAGCCACCCGCTACCCGGAGCAAGCTTTCGGCTCATGGTTTCTCTCTGAATAAAGTGTGCATGACAGAGACCTGCTCTCAAGCCTGCCAAGAGAGCTGCTCATCCTTGCACGCCCCTCCAAAAATCAGAGATGCGCCAAAGAAACTCAATAGGGTTTTTGTTCCCCCGGTCCCTTCTGGGTGTGTAAGCCTAAACAGGGAGCTCATAACAGAGCTCGAGAATAGCAGGCCATGCATGCAAATGCATGCACACAGGGTGATGGCACCATGCCCCCAAGCCAAGGTCCTCCAAAAAGCTCCGTAGCTGCCCAAAAGTTGCCCAGAACAAAGCACGGCCTCGTAGATGATAAGCAGAGAGTGGGTGGAAATAAAGACACCAAGACCACTCTCAGGAGTACCTGCAGTTTTGTTTCCAGCAATGCCTTGGAGAGGTGAAGTCCTGGATTTGAAACCCAGCCACTTTTAACAGCCACTTCTAGGAGAGCAGAGGAGTGAAGTGTGTCTGATTAGATAAATACAGATCATTGCTAACTGCCTAAAGAGCTGCTAATTACATGCCTCCTTCCTCAGGTGCTCCCGTGTATTTGCAAGAGCATTAAGCTGTTGGCCCTAACGTGTTCGACTCTAATCTGAAAGCCTGCCTTCTCTTTGTTAATTTAATAGATGCCCTCAGCAGAGACCTTCGGTCCTTAACGAGCGCACAACCTGGCAGGGAGCGCGTTCTTGCTTCCTCACTGCTCCCATCAGAAATGCAGCTGAGTCTGGGCAGGGAAACAGAAACTCAGCTCCAGAGCAGACGTCCCAGCGTGTCGGCTCTCTCCCGAGGCAGCAAATGCCGCCAGTGACAGGATAAAAGCTGGACTGCGTTACAACCACCAGATTCAGCCTCCCTGACTCGTGCTACTCAGCACCTCTCACCAAGCAGCCCATTAAAATGTGTACGGGGAAGAAAGAGGCCCAGCCTGAATCAAAGGCACGAAGAAGCTCACCCCCAAGCTGCTCCCCATACCTAGAGCGGGGGGTAACCCATGGCCTTTCATTTTGCATCTACACTCAGCCTGGAGAAAGCAAGAGCGCCAGCTCCCTACTCACTGCGGCATGCGAATCCGGCTAACTCTCCATCCCCAGCCGGGCACCTCCTCAACTGGCTTCATCGGGAGCTTCAAGGCACACTCCGTCTCCTGTCCCGGCCTCCTCCAGATCGCGTTCTTCCCAGAAACATTTGCAACGCGGACAAACAGTCAGCACCAAAATGACACGCACTTTCCGTCCTGGGCCACACAACAGCCGCGGCAGCCGCCGGGGATGCGGAAGACTGAGCAACTGAAAACCTGTGTCTGTTCCTCTCCGGGTTTTTTTCCCCTTCTCCAGTATTTATTGGCATGTTTACCAAGACCACTGCAGACTAACGGAAAACCTCAGGGGCATTTCTAAATGCTCTCTCTGTCTTTAAGGTTTGCTGAGGTCTCTAATCTAGCGAGTTGAACCCTTCTTGTGAACATTAGCTGAGCAACCTCGCTGACTGCCTGCATTCATGGCTTATTTTTTTGGAGAATCTGAGCTTTTAAATACTCCAGGTCAGGATTTTTTTTTTTTTTTAAGCATTTTTTAAAAATGCATTCCCGACTCCCTGTGACCTAAACAGCTCGATTAACCAATAGGGACCTCTTTGGCATAGTGATTGTGTTCCTGGGACAAGTTTAACAGTTTTCATATTTCAATTCTTTCACTTTTTTTGAAGCCATGTGAGCCAGCTGCTTCCTGAGCTGGGCTTTACAATATTGACTGGAATAAGCAGAAGGGCATGTGTATACATACCTGCAGCACAGACAGAGGCGCAAACACCAACCATCCCCCGACTCCCCACATATACACCCTTGTATACTACCTAGGTCCCAAACACCCCCTATTCTCACTGCTTTACCCTGTACCCTAAAACACTGCCTTGACCTGCCTCATGTACCTCAATACAGACACCTCTCACACATACGGCCATGTCAAACCCAAATAGATACACTCGCTCTCTCTCATGCACATACCCCTACATCCACCTGTATCAATATTTAGGCATTCACAGTACCCACCACCTTAGGAGGAATTAGCAGCCCTCTTGCTCCTTCTGCCATCATCATTTTAACAAGCTGGGCTGAACCAGCCTGCAGGCTCAATTCAGTTAGTGCAGTTCAAAGGAGTGGGAAATCCTGCCTTCTCCCCCCATGCCAAGGAGCCGTGCCCTGGTGCATAAGCACCCAGGGCTTGGGAACGACTGTCCCTGAAAGCAGGGATTTCCAGCACCCGGCCTCCCAGCACGGCCAGCCCTTGAGGACTGTGCTTGATGCAGCAAAGGACTGTGCTTGATGCACAGCAACTGTGGCTGGGGAATGCAGCTGGCACACAGGAAAACAGGCTTCCTCAGACCCTCTCCAGTCCAGCCGAAGCACTGCGAAGAGCGTCTTGGTGCATCTTGTCTATATACGATGGGAGAATCCAGGGATGGATGGGGTAGTCCAAGAAGCCTCTGCAAATCTTACCTACAAATCGTGCACCTTTTGGGCCAGGCTCTCAAAGTGCTTTAACAAAGGTGGGTGCTGACCCCATTTTACAGACTGGGAAAACAAGACCGAGGGAGGATGAAAAGGTTTTCTGAAAACACCACAGCAGAGCTCCCTGGGAGGGTGGACTCAGGAGCTGCTGCAGAACAGGTCTCCAGTCCAAGAAGCCTGGGCAGCTTAAGTCTAGGCCTCAGCCATTGCTACCTGCCCTTCCCTTATCACCCCCCAAGTAATGACATGGGCACGAGCCCTGTGCACACCAGGGTGGGTGGGTGGTGGGGGTTTGGGCTGTTTGGAAAGGGCCGGTGCATCTGGCTGCACACAGATGTTTCCAGATGAAGGT